ACAGCAACTTATAGTATAATTATTTTATGTGAACTCTAGGATATAACTTATTGTACATGTATAGTAGCAACTTTACAAAACTTATTGCACATAGTAACTCACTGAACAATGAGGACTAGTACTGAGTACAACTGCTTACTTTAGAATACTACATGTATCTTATAATGTTTAACCACAGTGGTCTTGAATATTTCACTGAACAATAAGGACCAGTACCGAGTACAACTGCTTACAGTAGAATACTATCTTATAATGTTTAACCACAGTGGTCTTGAATATTAACCTTGACCAGATCTAATTACCATACAATGACTTCTCACAAAGATCAAATGTTAACTAATGTATAAATAGAAGACATTTTCTAGTAATGAACTCCAGATGGCTCTAATTATAATAAGATGGAAAAACATACTCAAGTTGCACAATGGAAATAAAATGATACACATAGTACAAAATTAACCCAATGCAGCTATTTGAGAAGATTACTGCTCACAGTATAAACTGACAAATTTGTTTGAAAATAAACTTTGAACAGATCTGATTACCATACAGTGACTTCACACAAAGGTCAAATAGGCATTTTACTATAATGAACTTAAGATGGTACTGGTTCCAAGGCAAGGCAAAAATGACCAACTAACATTCTTAAAGTTGATGCTGTTTTAGCTAACAAATATAACAAGCAGCCTATATCTGGCTGAGATAGCTCCACATGAGGTTCCTATATGTATAATATCAAAACAATCGGACCAAAAATGCCAAAAGTATTCATCAAAATAAGAGAATTGAAGATATCATCACTAAATGAACAAATCTGGGAGGTCCACCTGTAGTACCTACCGTATATAAGTATAATATCAAAGCAATCGGACTTGTGGTTTTTAACCAGAGTCAAAGATATCACTTTTTACCAAAAATGCCAAAAATATTAAACATATCATCTTGAAATGAGTATTTTTCAGGACAATATCAGCAAAACATTCTTAAAGGTTTTACTAATTCACACAACTGTCACCTATTTCACATCACCATCAAGAGCAATACTGCTATTGTTACCTAACACAGAGGCAGAAAACTACTATCAAATGGGAATATTCAACTTGTCCAGTGCCACCATCTGATAGCACTTGTAACATAACTGATTATGAACCACCAAATCTGATAACAAAAACATCATGCAGATGTTCTTTAGACAAAGACAATGCATCCAACTGGACAACAGCCATTCTACATGACACAATTTCAGAAGTCAAGCACCGAGCAATGCCAAGAAAGCATAAAATGTACTAACTTAATCTCCAATTTTGTATATGGTCATAATTGTTTCCGGGGGTGGGGGGTTTGCACGACACAATTGGTTGAAATAATTGTGTCATTTGTATAAATTAATATTCATTAGCAATGAATTAGCTTTCCGATAGAATACATGATAGTTCTAAAATTGACTGATTCTATTTTTACGAACTAAAAAAATAATCAAAAAACTGATGTAAAAGTGTTTTTTGAGACACGTTTTTTATCAGACTACAGCAAACTGTTGAAATTAACCACAGTTTTTTCTTTAACTTGATCATAGCAACTCACGAAATTCATGGAGAGTGCAGAAGTACGTTGATTTGGCAATAAGTTTCGTTGAAGATTATTGTGTAATGAAATCGCTGAAATTATTTAATCTGTTTGAAAAAGGGAAGTTGTTGCTTCGACGATGGCCTACGAACGACTTTGAAACAATCCATCCAGATCGGACAACGTCCTCTCGTGCTAATCTTACCTTGATTGTTTTAATGCTAATGAGAGAAGAAGCTTTAAAGTCTCAGCCTTGGGATTGTTGCAGTGTCTACAACCACTCTTGAAGTTAAATATGTTAACTTTAAAACATTGCATGTTTATCAGAAATTGGGCATTTGTATCATTGCAATATTTTTTATTATTTCGTGTGAACACAGTTCATTATTACCCAAGATTTTTAAGTTTGTATTTTATATTTTTATTGTATTTTAGAATTTGTAACATTTCAAGTATACTAGTACACCATACCTGTTCAGCCAGTCTTCATCAATTTTCTAATCAGGGCAGTTGTAGCCCACTACTAATATTCTCATGTATCACTTGTTGACTATATATAACACTTTGTGGCCGCAGTCCCAACTGCCCATTCTTTCAATTGCAGTCATGCTGCAGCCACCTGAAACCTGCCCCTTTAAAACTAATATCTGGTGGTCCTCGTCTTTCATAGTACAAATAGTGCAAGTGAATGAAGGTGACTAATAAACAAGGGATGAATCTGTCTGAAGGTCTGAGATCCTATAGTTTATTTTCACCACAAGCTTTCGTTTTTCAGCCCTAAATTTACACTTCATTCATTTGTGGTGGTTTCCTCTTTGCCAAATAAATTGTGTTTTTTTTCATGTATATTGCACTGCCTCATGCTTTGTGTCGTAAATGAATCTTATTTCCTAGTTAATATAAAATGTACAGTATTAATCTCACAGTCCCTTATAGAATAATTGCAAAATAGTGTAACTACAATGTACCTGGTATTTATATCTCAGAAAAATTCAGAAGTAAAATACACTCCAAATTTTGGTGAAAAATTTTGTCAAAGTCTGCTAGCAAAAATGTACCTGGAAGTTGAAACTCATCTGTATCTGGTAAACACACTGTCCTCACAAATGGTCCAAGTGCAGCAGGATGATCTAGATGTAATAATGCAATGTCATAATCAAGATCATCATCACGAGTATCATAATCAAAGTCTCTATGTACAATTAGGTGATCAACATCAAACACTTGAACCTTTGGATTGATATTAACATCTTGTCTTCTGTTGGTTACACCTATAAAATATATAGAAATAGTAGAGTTAACATCATTCTCAGTCACAATTAATATAAGCTGAATTACAAAATAATAATAAAATACGCTCTTTTCATTTCTGGGGTGGGGTGGGGGTGGGGGGG